TATTATATATGTGTGTTTCTCTTTTATGTAAGCTTTATAAAAGCTTGGGCAATACATTTGTAACATTTGTCATGCCAACAAAGCAACTATTGAATTGAACTAAATTGAATTGAAAGAGAGAAAGAGAGATCAACGGTTTTACTGCATGCATGGATACCATACACTCATTCATTTTCTTTTTGGCTTAGTCCCTTTATTAATCAGTGGTCGCCACAGTGGAATGAACCGCCTGCATGGATATTTCACATTATAAATTAACATTCATAAACTAAACACCGACATTCATAGAGTTCAGCAAAGAATAAACATTTCATTTTGATTATGTGGTATTTCATTTCTATTCTCTTAAAAACGTGCCGTTTGTGTATCTGCTCCTACATGATGAGCGGAATTCACTATTTCAATTTAAGCCTGCTTGAAACAGAAGAGAGGATATTGTCCTGCCTGTTATGAAGCATCGTCAGAGAAGATCCACTACAGGTCAAAAGTTTGGGGTCAGTTTTATTTTAAAGAAAATTATTCTGTTCATGAAGGCGGCATTTATTACAGTTTTCTCAGATGCTAGGACACATTTCTCAATACTTAGGTCACTTTTGCAAAACTCTTGACACAGTGAGCACAACAGAAGTCTGTGTGGGCTAAACTGAGGATCGATTCTCATTGTTTTGGCACAAAATGCATTCAATGACTACATCTGTCAAATTTCAGCAATTCTTTTCTCACTCAGACAGAACAGTGAGAAATCTTTGTACATACAGGACATTCTGCACGTGCTTACATACTGTTTTTAAAACTGTTTAACTTCTGTTTAAAACAACAACATAATGCAAAACTGAAGAAGACAGCAAAATTTAACAACAATATTTAATTAACATATTTCACATCTAAAAATGCAGTTTAACTAGCCAGATTAGCATTACTATTGTATCTGTATCAGTGGTTAATGTGTATACAAATTGTTGTATTTTGGAATTACTTATTCAAATATAAAAATAAATAAACAACATAAATTATTGAGGAATTCTGCATCATGTCTGATTCATTCAAGTATATTGCAGTTATAAACAATATATATCACAATTACAAACAGAGATGTGTCCTTGTTTTACACAAGAAAACACCATGTACTGCTACATGTTGTTAGTGTTTATTAGCTCATTGTTTTGTGGGTGACAGTGTGTTTGTCGGAGTCAACCTTCGCTAGTGTTCTGGAGGAATGAGTTTATTTGAGAGCTGAATAAAGTGTTTTGGTAGTTGTGGTGCATTTTGAATGGGAAATGAACTGCTTTGTCAAGCTGAAAGTCGGTTAGGAGAATTGTGTGAAGAGTTTTGCAAAACTGACCTAAGTATTGAGAAATGTGTTCTAACGTCTGTAAAAACTGTAAATGTAAAAAAAAATGTTAAATTGTTAAATATTTATTCAACTTGTAATTAACTGCTCTTTTATTGTGTGTAGTTTTAAATTAAATGATTACTCCAGTCATTATTGCTTTTATTACTATTACCATCAATATAATAATAATAATAATATTTATAACTATAATAATAATAATTAAACAATAATAATAATATTGATTACAATAACAATAACAATAAAATAATAATAATAATAGCATCATGGTGGCGCATGGAGTAGCACGATCGCCTCACAGCAAGAAGATCGATGTTTCGAGCCTCAACTGGGTACATTATTTCTGTGTGGAGTTTGCATGTTCTCCTTGTGTTCGGGTGGGTTTCCTTCAAGTGCTCCTGTTTCCCCCACAAGTCCAAAGACATGCAGTACAGGTGAATTGGGTAAGCTAAATTGTCCGTGGTGTATGTGTGTGAATGAGAGTGTATAAATGTTTCCCAGTGACGAGTGCAGCTGGGCATCTGCTGTGTAATAGATATGCTGGATAAGTTGGCGGTTCATTCCACTGTGGTGACCCCAGATTAATAAAGGAACTAAGTCGAAAAAAAGAATGAATAAATTAATAATAATTAATTTTAGAGTGATTTCTGAAAGATCATGTGACTCTGGAGTAATGAAGCTGAACATTCATATTTAAATCACTGGAATAAATGATTAAATTAAACGATAAACTACTTTTGAACAGTTATTTTATAGTGCATTAACGTTTCACAATTTTACAATTTGTACTGTATTTTTGATTAAATAAATGCAGCTTTTCCGAACAGAAGAAGCTTAATTTAAAACATTTAAAAATCCTACTGACCACAAACTTTTGACTGGTAGTGTATGTCATGAAAGATAGGTTAAGGACATTAAAGATGGTGTAGACAATAATTTATTTAAAAACAACAACAACAACAACAACAATGCAATATTGCAAAGAAATAAGATCTGTCAGTTTTGATTTCAGGTGGTTCATTCCGCTGTGGCGACCCCAGATTAATAAAGGGACTGAGTCGAAAAGAAAATGAATGAATGAAGTTTTGATTTCAGAACTTACAGTACATATGCAAACTACTGAAATAAAAACTAAAATCTAAAATTAAACACTTAAAAAGAAACATGTTTGCTTGCAATCATCAAAAAAGATAACGACAAAGAGCTAACTGAAGATGGAGGTAAAATTAAAATACAAAATTTTCAAGATGAAAAAAAAATGCATTTGCAGCATAAAAAATAAATAATTTTTAAAAAGCCTCTATAATTCGCACAGTTTTGAAGATATGATCATTAGATTACAGCAGACTGTTAATGTAACACTACAGCACAGATGTTGTTATAATGTTAATGTAAGTGATCAGAGCATGAGTTTGAGCTGAAGGTGGACTCACATGCAGCAGTTTGCAGTATCAGCAGCAGCAGCCCAAACACCAGCATGATCTTCCTCAACTCCAGCATCCACAAGAGAAGACTTTCAGATCAGCTCATGAGCATGGGTGAGAGTGTGTGTGTTCGGATCTCAGACAGAGAGACTCACACTGACACATGAGGAAACATCTGAGCATTTCACCAACAGAAGAGGAAGCTTCCTCATACGTGGAACGGCAGACGCTTCACAACTAAACAAAGAAGAAACATGGAACAGAAAGCAAAAATTTCAGTCGTATTTTCTAAAAAGCACAAAGGTTTTATTGGACACCATGTTAAGCAGGAGGGATAAAACTACAAATTATGCAAATATCTGCATATGCTCTATATATTATGTTAACACAACTTAATATTGTTACATTTAGACTGATACACAGCTTCTCTACAGCATTATACACCATTATATGTATATTATATACTTATACATACTTATTTCATTTGCACATAATACTCTGGCTTGCACATTGTCATTTTGCACTAACACTTATTAACTTCCACTAGACTTCTTGTTTGTTGTATTTGCATCATTTATGGTAGATTGGTCAGTGTTGCAACATTTGATTTCTTGTAACACTGTCAGTTTGACCAATCAGAAACAATCTGGGATGGTGTTAATTTAAAATACTGCTTACAACACACACTTTTGAGCTTACAGGAGTAGTGGCGTGTGTCTGAAAACAAAATCGTGGATTTTATCTTTAAAACAAATGACATTTTAAATAAATATAAGTTTGCATATGTTTATATGTTAACATGCATTATAAAAAAGATATGTTTCTTTGACTTGCAGACATTACTGTACGTTAATGGCCTTCATGCTGACTTTAAACACACATGCTAAAAGAATAAGCCTGTTCATGTTCATTTAATATTTATTTTGCATCTTTAGGAGGTGGATGTGTAAGACTGACTGCAGTATCCTTGCTGAAATGTGTCACTTGTGTTTGTTGTCAATTCTGGGCCTACAAAGCCTGCAGTGGCGGACATACATTTGGCACAGCTGTGATATATAACATATACACACAGTAATGCGTTATGAGGACAATTTGTCATTTGTTAAACTTAAAGTTCTAAAGAGACACACACACACTTGAATAAGTGGTCAGAGAATAAAATGCTGGTTCTGACCTTCAGGCTGTCTGGACTCGATCTTCAGTTTCCTGCAGGTGAGACTCATGAAGAGACATGTGGAGTTTTGTGCAGAGCGACATCTGCAGGACGAACAGACAACTACAGCTAATGATTCTGCTCTACTTCATGGCTTAGACAGTTTAATTACAGCTGATTTGAACTGCATCTTTAAATTATGTAAATTAATTAAAATAGAACTACAGAACATTTGGATTGAATTTATTTACAATATTTACAAGTAACTGAAAATGGCTTATATGTAATCCCTTTATTTTTTTTAGCAGACAGTAATTTAATTATATTAACTTTTTTTGTTTTAGTTTTTCCCCTCATCATTTTGTGATGTTTTATAAACAAATTATAACTTTAAATGGCATGCCTCGATAGTAGGATATATGCAGAAGAAGGACTTTTAATGTTCAATAACCCAGTAAAGTGCTTCTGGTGAACTATGTACCGTTACTAAATCTCCATATTTAAGGTCTGTTTTCTGTTTATGTCTGATTGATATACTATATAAAGTGGGTCTCAGAATGAACACGAAGCACTGCATTAAATTACATTTTTCCACGCATGTCTTTAAAATATGAAAATGTATTTTACTCCAGTATTTTTTAATGGAGTCTCTGCACTATCTTGCTGATCTTGACTGCACGTGTGTGCAAACGGCTTTTCATCTAATTTTTTTATGCCTGAACAACTAAACTAATTCTCAAATCTATTTAACTGATTGCATTTTAATTGCATTACGACATTGATGCTGTGAGAGGAACAGTATAAAATTGAAAATGATTACCTAGGTTTTGTTTATTTATTTATTTATTTATTTATTTATTTATTTATTTATTCATTTTCTTTTTGGCTTAGTCCCCTCGTTAATCTGGGGTCGCCACAGCGGAATGAACCACAGACTTATCCAGCACATTTTTTTAACGCAGCGGATGCCCTTCTAGCCACAACCCATCTCCGGGAAACACTCACACACACTTTGAGGTCACAGCACTACCTACTGCGCCACTTTGCCGCCTTTATTTATGTATTTATTATTATTTTGCTGTTTTTGATATTATATTCTGCAGTATGTGTTTAAATTGATCCTGTTGATTTAATGCCCTCTTATCAGTTCCAAGAAATTATACTAAACATTCAGACTTCTTTCTACTGTATGAATGACTTCAGAATCCCATGCAGCCCAGAAAACTATTGTGGAGACAGTTATTAAAAATGCACACGCTACACACTGATAGAGCGGGCAGCTTAAATGTGCAGCATGTCATTTTCACCGCTATAGAGAACGTGTAGTCACAACAAACAATGCCATAATGTAGATAATGTAACAATGTAGATAATGTTATGTCATAAGTAGATACGTCAGCAAAATATATAACACTGCTAAAGAGGTTTAATGAAAAAAAGTGTTTAATTCAGAAGCAAAATATCAAGTTAAAACATGAATATGCTGAAACACAGTAGAACTTTATGAAATATGTTGTGTGTGTCTCATGTCACTAAATCAGTGTTTCCACCATTGAAAAAACACCAATAAAAGAGCTGTCACGTCACATTAAAACCTGACATTTACCTAGGGAAACAACACTCTTTATCCTCAGAAACTGCTTTAATGTTGTTTTTTGAAATGACTCAGTGTGAAAAAATAGGCATGTGGTGTAAGATCAGAAACCAAAAACATGTTCTGCAACACTTGGTTTACTATGGCGTGACAAACCTCATCATGTAAAGTATTGTATGAGTTGGCAGCCCTGTATTTAAGAAAAAAACACATGAGTTACTCTGTGCTGAAGACCATGACAAAACCCAAAGTATAATCCACATATAAAAGAAAAAATATATATTTAGATGATATTTTGCTCTCTGCAGCTTTAAATACATTCAAAAATTGAATTTACAAAATTGAAACAAAGAATCATGGAAAATTCTCTTCGTGAGATCTTAACATTTACAAATAAAGCAAATATTGTGTGACTAATGTGTGGTTAATGTGAATTAAATGGATAATTCACTCAAAGATGAAAACTCTGTCATCATTTACTCACTCTTATTTCAAACCTGTTTGAGTTTCTTTATTCTATAAAATGCAAAAGGGGATATTTGAAGAATGTTGTAAACCCAACCATTGACTTCCATACTTTGTTCTTCCTCTAATGGTTACAAGTTTATAACATTTATCAAAATATCTCCAACAGAAGAAAGAAACTCATAAATGTTTGGAACTAATTAGTGAGTAAAATTCAATTTGTGGGTGAACTGTCCCTTTAAAATGAGAATTAGTTGTATTACACATTTTAATTAAGAACAAACTACTTTTTATTTTAATTATGTATAATTACATCTTCTAACTAAATTTCACCATAAATTGAAGACTTAATATTACAATTATTAAATAATGCTCTGTTTAGCGATAATCTAAAATGAACAACAAAATAAAAATAAATGCATAATAGCTCAAAGTATTAATTTATTCATTCTTTTATGCCGCTTATTTATCAGGGGTTGCCACAGTGGAATGAACCGCCAACTATTCCTGCATATGTTTTACGCAGTGAATGCAAGTCCAGCTGCATCCCAAGACTGGGAAACACCCATACACACCCATTCACATTCACACACACACACACACACACACACACACACACACACACACACACACACACAATGGCCAATTTAGCTTATTCAATTCACCTATAGCGCATGTGTTTGGATTCTGGGGGAAACCGAAGCACCTGGAAACCCACGCCAACACAGGGAGAACATGCAAACTCCACACAGAAATGCCAACTGGCCCAGCTGAGACTTGAACCAGTGATCGTTTTGCTGTGAAGCGACAGTGCTGACCACTGAGCCACCATGCCACCCCTGACTAAAAATATTACACATATCACAAAATGCAAATGCAAGAAGAAAAAAAAAAGTAAAACACCAGACATCTCAAAAAGTTTGAATAGTTTAGGTATCATAAACAATGAGAAATCAATCAAAACCAACATACTAAAGTAAAAGACGAAAAAACTATATGTGAAAATAAACTCTGTATCCAGGTGAAACTCTTGAACATCATGAAGTCATTGTAATATAGATGTGATGAGATCTGCTCTGTGTTCTTCACTAAATCTCCTCATCATCAGGTTTTGATCTTCTTTCTTTCCTAAAAGCATCACATCATCATCATCATCTTCACACTTTATTTGCATGTTGAATCAATAACGCTGATCATAATCGTCTCTCACCTGACTTGTGTGTGGATGTAGATGTGAAATCCTCCTAACAGAGCGAACAGAATCATCAAATAAATGACCAGCATAGAGCTGTGAGACACTGAACACAGAAGACAACAATTAAACACGAAACAAAATCTGTCCATCAGGATTCCTGTATTGCTCTGTTAAACTCATACCCCAGTTTGATGTTGTTAGACTGCTGCTGGTCACTGTAAAGGTCAAACTAGAGGTTAAACTAGAAATCACAGCATCAAATAAAACAAACAAACAAACAAACAAACAAACAAACAAACAAGCAAACAAGCAAACAAACTTTCTGATTATCTCACCTGAACAGTCTTCGGTGCTAACAGTCTTCTGTCTTTTACTGACGTGGTTCTTCACAGTGCAGGTGATTTCTCCTTCAGTTCCTTCTTCAAGATAAATGTTCCTGTTTTCATCCATCAGTGTTTCTCCATTGAGAGTCCAGCTGTAGAGGAGCTGATCCCCCTCAGAGGAGCAGGACACTGACCTCATCTGATTGGAGGAGCAGATGACTGACACTTCCACTGAGCCAACAGGAGCTGGAGGGCGGGACACATGACAGACACTTTCTTCAAATCAGAATCAGAATCAGAAAAAATCTGGAATCAGAGACATTTCTAGACTAAATCTATTAAATAGATAAAAATGTCAGAGAATTAAACATGCAGCACAGGTTAATCATGTCACATCACTGCAGGACATTGCAGGTTAGTTAAACAGCTGGCAATGTGCATTAGGTGAAATGCTCATATTTCAGTCTGAAAACTGTCTTGGTGCATGAAAATTGCAGATGATCTAGATTTATTGTCAGTGCTGAAGTGATTCAGTGATCAGTTCAGTGAGCAGATCTCTTCATATATTTAACACTGATCTGCATAAGTCTAATATCTCTGGAGAACACGAGACTGTAATAATGAGTCTGATGAGAGATTTACTGACCTTCAACATTCACCTGAAGATCTTGAGATGTTTCTGTGCCGTCAGGATTATTAAATTGTATTCTGAAATCTCCTGAATCTTCTCTCTTCACCGGGTTTATCATCACAGTCCCATTAATGATTTTCACTTCAGGTCTGTTTATATAAAGATCACATTCATTTGCTCTCTTTGTGTCATTTCTTACTCTACAAGCTGCATCATCTGTGTTGTCTATTCTCTTTATTATGGTCAGTTTATATTTACTGGCGTTCACCATCTGCAGGTTGAGTTTGTGTCCCAGAGCTGCATAACAGGGATCTGACTGAGTAAAACTGCAGAACCGCTCCACACCTGAACAACAAACACACACACACACACACACACACACACACACACACACACACACACACACACACACACACACACACACACACACAGACACACACACAGACACACACACACACACAGACACACACACAGACACACACACACACACAGACACACACACACACACACACACAGACACACACACACACACACACACACACACACACACACACACACACACACACACACAGACACACACAGACACACACAGACACACACACAGACACACACACACACACACACACACACAGACACACACACACACAGACACACACACACACACACACACACACACACACACACACACACACAGACACACACACAGACACACACACACAGACACAGACACAGACACACACACACACACACACACACACAGTTTATTCTGATCTATGTTGTATATATATATATATATGTGAATAACATGATATATTAAATAATACTACAAAAGTAAAATTCGTAGACAAACTTTATGGTGTCTTCAGAAAGTCTTGTCTGAAAGTTTAAAGTAGCAATAAAAAATAAATAATTTAAGTAGTTTTCATGTTTAAAACAGTTGCATTAGATCAGGAGTGTCCAAAGCCCTGCTGAGTTTAGCTCCAACTTGCTTCAACACACCTGCCAGGAAGTTTCTAGTTTATCTAGAAAGCCGGTTCAGGTGGGTTTGATTTGGGTTGGAACTAAACTCTACAGGACACCATCCCTCCAGGGCCAAGTGTAGACACCCCTGGTTTAGATAGACAAGTACATATAGGTTAGCAGGTTTCAAGTATGGATTAGCATGTTTCTTGCTAAGTAGGGAGCTAGGGTGTTTTGAGTGGTTGCTCGGTGGTTGCTAAGGCATTGCTAGGGTGTTCCAGGTAGTTGTTAAAGTGTTGCTAGGGTATTCTGAGTGGTTGCTAGGTCGACCACTGAGCGGTTGTTAAGACATTGTTGGATGGTTGCTAAGTGGTTCTGAGTGTTTGCTAAGTCATTGCTAGGGTGTTCAAGGTGGTCACTAGGGTGTTGCTAGGTGGTTGCTTGGGTGTTCTGAGTGGTTGCTAAGGTGTTGCTAGGTTCTCTAGGTGATCGCTAAAGTGTTGCTAGGCGGTTGCTATGGTGTTTTGAGTGGTTAATAAGGCATTGCAAGGCGGTTGCTAAGGTGTTCTGAGTGGTTGCTAAGGTGTTGTTAGGGTTCTCTAGATGATCGCTAAAGTGTTGCTAGGCGGTTGCAATGGTGTTTTGAGTGGTTGCTTAGGCATTGCAAGGTGGTTGCTAAGGTGTTCTGAGTGGTTGCTAAGGTGCTGCAAGGGTTCTCTAGGTGATCGCTAAAGTGTTTTGCTGGGCGGTTGCTAGGGTGTTTTGAGTGGTTGCTAAGGCATTGCTAGGCAGTTGCAAAGGTGTTCTGAGTGGTTGCTAATGTGTTGCTAGGTGGTTACTAAGGTGTTGCTAGGTGGTTGCTAGGGTGTTCTGAGTGGTTGCTAAGACGTTGCAAGGTGGTTGTTAAGGTGTTGCTAGGTGGTTGGTAGGGTGTTCTGAGCAGTTGCTAAGGCATTGCTAGGCAGTTGCTAAGATGTTCTGATTGGCTGCTAGGTGGTTGTTAAGATGTTGCTTGGTGGTTGATATGATGTTTTGAGTATTTGCTAGGCCGTGGCTAGGGTCTTCTGAGTGGTTGATAAGGTGTTGCTAGGCAGTTACTATGGTGTTCTGAGTGGTTGCTAGGGCATTGCAAGGCAGTTGCTAAGGTGTTCTGAGTGGTTGCTAGGCCGTGGCTAGGGTCTTCTAAGTGGTTGATAAGGTGTTGCTAGGCAGTTACCATGGTGTTCTAAGTGGTTGCTAAGGCATTGCAAGGCAGTTGCTAAGATGTTCTGAGTGGTTGCTAGGCGGTTGCTAAGGCATGGCTAGGGTGTTCTGAGTGGCTACTAAGGCGTTGCTAGGTGGTTGCTAGGGTGTTCTAAGTAATTGCTAAGGCATTGCTAAGGTGTTTTGGGTGGTTGCTAGGCGGTTAGTAGGGTGTTTTAGGTGGTTATTAAGGTGTTGCTAGACGGTTGTTAAGGTTGCTAGGCATTTTTAACATAAATTACCATGTTTCTAGCATAAATTAGCATGTTGTTATCATTGAAATAAATTAGCATGTCACTTGCATGTTTATAGTATAAACTAGCATGCCATTAACATGAATAAAGTGTGAATTAGCATGTTGCTATTATGTCATTAGTATGTTTTTGGAATGGAGTAGTGCAGTGGTTCTCAAACTGTGGTACGTGTACCACTAGTGGTACGCAGGCTTCCTTTAGAGGTATGCGGAGGAATGAAATGTACATGCTACACACATTTAAAAATTTATCATAAATGATCGATATAATATGCCACATATGACATATAGCCTATATTTCTAAGGTAATCTGCCACGTTTTTTTTTAACGGTGCAGAGTGGTAGCTGCTTTATTGGGCCGACTACGCTACTGTATTTCAATACTGCTCATTTTGGTGGTACTTGGAGAGACTATTTTTTTTCTGAGGTGGTACTTGATAAAAAAAGTTTGAGAACCACTGGAGCAGTGTATTGTCAGTATGGAGTTGTGTGTTGTTAGTCTGTCCAATGTAAAGTCAATGGCAGATTTTTTACAATAGAAGTCTATGGGACAGTTGCTAGGGTGCCGTAAGTGGTTGCTAGGGTGTGGATAGTAAGTTAAAAGGTCATCAATGTTTGGCAGAGATTGGTAGTTTGAGTTAAATGAGCTCAACCTCAAGTCTGTATGACAGTCTGATGGAAAGTTATAATTTTCTCAAGCCACAATAAATATGATATATTGAATAATAAGATGTATTATTTATATTTTAATTGGTATTATTATTATTATTTAACTTATTTATTTATTTATAAATGTATTTATTTATTTTAATTATTATTATTATTTTATTTCTTTTTACTTATACTAGTTTCTAGCATATAATAATAAACAATATAATAATAAAAAGATATATATATTTTCATTCTTGTGAACTATCAGAAAAGAGATGTTCTGAACACAGAGGGTCAATCATTCTGATTAAACAATACAAGGACAAATTAAAACTGGATTTACACAATCATTAATAATAATTACAGTCATGCTCCATGGAAATAAGAACAATCAGTTTTAATCTCACAGTGACTTACAATTTTCCATGAAATGTAATAAAAAAAATACGAAATAAATAAATGTGAATTTAGAAAATAATAATATTCAGATTTGCATGTGAAACTAAAAATATATGAATAAACATAATTATCTGATGATTTCATTAAAATTACACTGCTTATTTATTTATTTATTTTTAAAAACATATTTTTACTTTCAGACAGGACACTGTTTCCTAAAAACAAACAGACATTCTCTCACATATCAACACACCACTAATACACACCACAAATGCACTTAGTATGAAACTTGACTAACTCTAAAGCATGATTATTAGATCTCTGCATGATACTCTTAATCTAACACTACAGCACAGATGTTGTTATATTGCTAATGTAAGTGATCAGAGCATGAGTTTGAGCTGAAGGTGGACTCACATGCAGCAGTTTGCAGTATCAGCAGCAGCAGCCCAAACACCAGCATGATCTTCCTCAACTCCAGCATCCACAAGAGAAGATTTTAAGTGTGCGTGAGAGAGTGTGTGTGTTCTGCTCTCTGACAGAGAGACTCACACTGACACATGAGGAAACATCTGAGCATTTCACACTTCATCATCTGAGTTTCCTCATACGGGAACTGCAGACGCTGTGGGGTCACAGTTTTACTTAAAACTTAAAGTATTCAAACATGATCTTTTTTTTTCTGTTCTGGCTAAAAAATAATTTAAATCTTTTTTGTATATATATATATATATATATATATATATATATATTTATATATATATATATATATATATAT